GTTACAAGCTATTTTGTAATACATACTATCACTGTTACAAATGTTCGGTAATCAAGTACTAATTACTTTTTCAGCACTTCACTTTTATATTTCGCTTACGTAATAATACTTATGTGTGATAAAATACTGCAGCTAGAGAGTTTAAAATGAGATGAAAGCGATTTTGAGTGAATTCCACAAGTATCTACAGGAATACTGTTTAATAAATGATATAAAATATGGATTTAGTTACTATGGTTTGCTGGTAAGGGTGACTAGTGACGTAGTTTTAGGTACTACAAATACCATCGTTAAAGAAATGGTTGATAAAATTTACATGTTTAAAATGATTTTAATTATAGAAAAAAAATAGAAAATAAAAACCCATTTTGAAATACATATATAAATGAGATAAATTGCTCTTTTCAAAAGTGAATTTGCGAGTTCGATTTGCTAATACTATCTTCTGGACTCTTTAGACCTGAAAATCTCAGGAAAACAAAAGGATTTGATAATATAAATAAGGTTATGACTAAGATTCTAGTTTACGTAGATTCATTTAAGTAATTCCTATCGCTCATAGATAAAAGTATTTCAAAGATTTGCCCTTTCAAATTGAGCCAATTATAGGTTGTTGTTTGCTTGGATAACTTTTTAATTGCGACGTCAAATAAGAAATATTTGTGCTCAAAGAAGACCCAAGATTTGAGGCTTGTTATCGCTACATCGAAGCCATATTGTTGTTACGTCAAAGGCTGTCTCGAGCATGACCCGTGAAATTACACCACGTTTTAAACATCAAAAATGGAACTCGTTCCATTGAATTTTAATTATTTCATAATGGCCGTGCACTTTAATTCAAAACTTATGAACTACTATCTAGGTTTGGCTATTAAACGTACAATTTCTGCAATTTTCCATTTCTCCATTCGCTCCAGTAAATGTAAATTTGACTTACGACTTATGGAACTTGCAATTAAAACTCAAAAATAACTCTTATGTTCAACCCGGTAAAGTTCACTGGATGAACTAAGGGCTTCATTCGTCTGGCAAATTAATTACTGGATAAGGACACTAGAGACTGTGAGGCGAATTTCCAAGAACTTTCCGAATGAATGTGGTTAATTTAACGGTTCTTCTTAACAGTTACACAATCTTGCAAACATTTGTCTGAAGAAGGATTATGAAAACAAACTTGTGAAATGTTTCAGAGGGAACTCGATCCCCGAGCAAGCAAATTGTAACGCGGATCTTTGTTCCCCCTTTAATATTTAAGTTGAATGCTCTTCTTTGATGCCAAGATCAAATGTTTAATACAACATGGTAAGAGCGATCGTGTTCGTGCTCTTCGTGTCCCATGTAGGCCAGGAGTACCACGGGCGTCGAGGTCAACGACCTCCCCCTTCTCTCCGCGTCAACTCTAGACCCTGCACTACTACATTTCTCCACTCAAGCGCACTGCAAGTTATCCACTTAAGTAGCTCTACCACATCCAAAGTAATTAGTTTTATCCGAAGTTTTTAATTAGAAATCTTTACAAACAGTTATTTTATGTCGTTATAAGATGAATTTATTGTTGTACTTATGTGTGAACTCCGCTTGAATAGCCAGAGAAAGTAACGTACACAGCATATGTGTCCATTTTACTGAGCGTTTGCGCATGCGTCGAGTTTCAAAAGCAGCCGTACAGCACGTGTACGCCTTTAGCTGTTTTAGCAATTTGACTTTGGAATCCCATTGTCGGTTAATAGCATAGTACTCAATTTTAGTTGGTTTTCGTTCGAGTACTTATACCTTGTAATTATGGTAAGTTTGTCGGCAAATTATGCGGTTTTATGAGATGCTCGGCAACTCGGTTCTGGGCGGCTGACGAAGTTATAAGTTACGCGGTCACAGATCGTGATCGAGGTTAATCGAGTTATCTCGAAGATTGGCCGGCACGGGCTGCACCGACGACGTGACCAAACGATTGGTCATTTCCTTCTTAATTGTGGTTAATGGTTGCGATTTTTATAGAAGGGTTCAACTTGAGTGTCGATCGTGAAAAAATATCATCGAACGAGAGAGATAACGTTGAACTGGGAGACGTTTCCTTTCGTATTTGGTGTGCGATAAAGTTGTATTGAGAGTGCAAACGAGCAAGCTCATTTACGAGCACAAACGAGGACCGCACACGAGTCGCAGTAACACACACCATTCAAGTCACGTCTCCACATGTTTTTACAACAAAATAAAGACGTATGTACGTAGCTATAGGTACAGTTGGACATGAAAAAGCTCGAGGCTGCAAGCTAACATGACTACCTGCATTACCACCACTTTCTCGACTGACCTATCACGAGTCTGGTCATTGCGAGTTACGGCCATAGCAAATCACCTGCCGATAATTTCGCGCACAAATTCCATTCGTAGGTATTCGCTTCAAACTGTGTAGGTATACAATGAGATTACGTTTTTTTATTGTTTGCATTCAAAGCTACAGCTTTATTTTAATTGTCCTAGTTTTTTTATAGCAAATAAATGATTCGATCCACTGATGAAATTTTCGTCATAAACGTAGTTGGCACCAAGAGCAGTATGCCAAAGCGAACAAGTTTAAACTCATTTAGAGACAATAGCAATAGACCAAATGGTCTTCAAAAGGTACCATTTTAAGGTATTATTTTGAAATAAACAAGTTTGTATGAAAACGTAGAGAAAATGTCGAGTCATTGCCTTTTGGATTACATTACATAAGCCACACGTTGCTTCTTTCAACAACGTTTCTATTCTGAATGCAGTAGCTCACAGAGAAAGCTCATATTGTGTTACAAAGCACTCGGAGATGCGAAGGTACGTAGAAATGTAACCATCTGTGGCTGTTTCTTATTTGTAGCGTACTGTTTGAAACTACATCTATCTAAATTGCATTATACCAACAGGATGTAGTACAGGATGGAGTACTTTAATAAGGCTGACTGGCTACAAAGCCAAGATCCTGCATATCAGTTGTGTCATGGACAGGTTTATGGTAAGCTTGGGCAATACGCCAATGTGTGTTGGAACAAAACCATTATAGTATGTCAACATACAGACAAAGACTTCAGTGCAAGTATTGAAGGTAGAACACCAGTCGCCTCTGCATTTTACGCAACTTTCACCTGCCAGCAACTCTGTAATACTGACATACATCATCTTTTTACTGATGTGATGTGTACAATCAACAAACATCGCTCAACCAACTCAAGAATACTTACTGACTCCGAAAAATAAAAATAAAATTTCCAATCTAATCCAAATTGAAACAAATATTGAAGCAATCCAATCTTACTTTCATGCAAAATAGAATTTAACCGTCCTATTTCCACGAAAAGAATGCGCAAAAAGGGATCGTAAAGGAATTTTTTACCTCTGAGGGTTCCATCGAGTATTTTTAATCAACTTAATTTTGGCATACGGGGCCAGCTAAATAAAGGAATATAAGTCGACGCTGTCATTTGTGTCAGCCAGCTAATCCTTTATCAGCGCTTGCTGTACAGGTTTCTGTTTATTTTTGTTGCGTAAATCCTATTGACGGACCCGCCTAATGCCGGACATTTATTTGTGCATCAGGTTGGGTCTGTTCAAACAAAAAGCTGGTCAACTTTCACGAAGTTTCAGGTTTTTAATTATTACGTAATTTCTAGACAAATCCCATCTACAAATGTTAACCATGGAAAAGTAATATTTCATCTTTAAAGTTCTAAATAGGTCACACAAGGTTTGCGTAAAGGCTTAGTGACCTGTGCCTGAGTAAAGGGCATTTATTTATAATATTGTTAGACGGACACCTGCGTCACAGCGACATTAACACGACAATACGTGACAAAATTATTTCCACATCTGTTGTTGCTATTCAGACAATATTTACACGAAAAAGAAAAATGGAGGAGCAGGGATAAGTGGATACAATTTCAAATAACTCAATGTTGGTCGGTTTGTTAGAGGATATGAAAAATCGTAACATTTTCCAAGCATCGTCGGCACCGGCACGTACACTGCGGACAGTTATTAGGACTTGTTCCTTGCAACTTACGAAGACGGATGCAAGGAAATATCTTACATAGTACTCTTGTTTATTTTTTCCATGTATTGAAAACGGTGAAGTTTACGTAGGTACGTTTAGACTTTAGTATATTTTTTTAACGTCTAGAGTCTCAGTATGAAGTTCTGCAAATAGTTCTAAACAGTTTCTTTGTCCATCGTTTGAACACAAGTTATAGGAGGTATGTTAAAAAAGCTTAATAAATGAACTGTAGCATGACGTGGCGAGCATCCGGCGTTGTCGCGCGAATGATCTCACGCTACCTGACACCCCTGTGTGGTCCAGAGGAATCAACTTTGCATAGGTTGGCGGACACATAACTGGTACAAGTAACTACGTCGGCTAGTTCAGTATCAATGGAGTTGTGGTTTCCTGTCTACTAACCTGCTTTAACTTAGTGGACGATTCAATGAGACTGCTTTCATCGCTCTGACTAAAGTTTGATAACGCTCGACTTACCTCAAACATTACTAGTACTAGATACGCTATTAAATCCGCCTGTTTTATCTCTAGCGGTTTTCGCTTAGGATCACAATTTCATAACTTTATCGATCCCTGTATCGAAGAAGGATGTTCGGCTGTCTCTCGAATTAATTGAAACATTTGCGCTGATACGCAAACGACAGTTGTTTGCGTTGCGGAAGTTTCGAAGTTTGTTCAATTTCGGGTACCTAAACTTAGTTCGGTATTCAGCTGGTAAATAAATGTTAAATATTTATCATCTCGTTTATTAGTAAACTGCTGAGAGGTTTTAAGATTAGGGATTAGGTACTTTTTATTTATTCAAGCGTACTTAAAAACCGTTTTATAAATACTTTCAACGAATTACTTGCCTGACATAAAACTGCCTTATCTCACGTCTTAACGCGTATTCAGTTCAACATTCATTCATAAATTCTTCGTGCTATACTAATAACATCTTTAGTCAGTAAATAATAAAATCTTTTTTCTTTTGCAGTCAACGCAGTCGTTCGTATGAGTCGGATGACCATGAGAGGGGGGCGTGCGAATGGTGCGAGTATGCCCTGGTCATCACGCTTGCGACCATCCTGCTGATCGGCGTCTCAGCCCTAACTGTCTTCTGGGTATTCTACTACCGTGAGGGCTATGCCTGGGCTGACGATCTGCCTGATAAGCAGTTCAACCTGCACCCAACGCTTATGGTGGCTGGATTTATCACCTTCAGCGGTTTCTGTGAGTATCTGACTGTTTTTACCCGACTGTTCTGGTATGTCTTTTTATTGTTAGAGGCGGAAGTGTAGATTTATAATAAATTATGAGAATCAATGTGTTGATCATAAGTTCAAGCATCAATCTCTACCTTTATATAGAAGGATTTTTATAATTAACAAATATCTTATTCTAATAAATCAGGCAAATATAAATTTCGTAAGAAAACTAATGGGTTACATTTTCCATAGCGAAGGGATGTAAAATTCTCGCTAAGTTTGAATTTGAAGACTGTCTGCTAAAACGGTTTCGTAGTCACATTTTTCTGAGACGAGAAGGATGAAAAGCTCGGAGCATTTGCCGATAAAACGCAACAGTAGCGCGGTATTGCAGTACCTATTCTTGCTGTTGAAAATATCAGTTCAGATTTAATATTAAACTGAAGTGGTTCTTCTAAATGCTGGATTCCTTTAGATACTCTATCTTGCCGTCTTTTAAACAGCTTTATAGAGAAAGGCTATAAAAATACCTAGAGATACAAAATAGTTTTATTTTAAATCAATTTGGTTCGACATTTAAACAGAGCTTGTTTATGTTTCACGAGAACTGCTTCATAAATGGTTGGATTATTCGCGAAACTCACACTGCAATCCAGTTCTTTTTGATAATGTGTCCAAGCTCACCTCGTTCAATATCAAGTTGTGTTAAGGTAGTTCACTTACAGATATTAATTACATCGTTATAGGAATCTAGATAATTCAAACAAAATACAGAATACATTAGATATGTAGTATATTCTGAAAAACGTGTTGCACTTTTCACCTTTCTCCTAACTTATATTAGTTATTCCTTTCTTTACTTTCCCATTTTATATGATAGCATAACAATATGGGCATGCGGATTACGTGATGGGTAGCAATCAGCATCGAAAATAGACATTTTAATGACAACTTTTTGGGGGAAGGAGTGGGTCTCCAGTAACCTCACTCACACTGCTCCCATAACTAAACACAACGCTGTTGTTTTTTCACACCAGTTTTCCGTATATAAGGCCATGGTATCACTCCGGTCGATCCGATCCATACGTGCCGAAGCCCATAACACTATGGAAATATATCACATAGCGTCTTGCCTATCCTTATTAAAGTGTCTATCCCATTTGTCATCAACAGCCGTGCTTCTGTACCGCATCTGCCGATGCTTCAGACGCATCTACGTCAAGTTGCTGCACGCCATCTTCCACGCGTTGGCGTTCCCTTGCATCGTCATCGGATTCCTGGCAGTGCTGGACTACCACAACAAGAAGGGGATCAACAACTTCTACTCGCTACACAGCTGGATCGGTTTCGTCGCCATGGGACTGTTTGGAATACAGGTGATTTTTCTTTGAGTATTCTTTGATTGAAATAGAACAGGGTTTGGTCAGTAGACGATTTGTGACGTTAAACCTGCTTAATAGGAAATGAAATAGAAACACGTTTTCATAAAAAAAAAACTTTTGCTACTTACCTAATGATAGAAATATGATATCTTTAATGTTAAGCTATACTTCGAATCAGTTGAAGACTCACAACAAACTAAGAAGACCCTTTCTGAAGCAAAAATCCATTACTTAAAAGTTATACCTATAAAGCTAGTCACTGTTAAATGGGACACGCTAATCGCTTGATCCAGTCAAACGGATATCCCTGATATTTTATAGCCTGTTTCTCGAGGAAGCTTTCTAATATCTTAGAGCAACTAAGGAAAGAGCTCGTAAAGTTACATATTACGTCGATTACTTAACCAGTGAAATAGCTTCCTTGTCAAATGTGGCTACAAGATTGCATTGGAAGTTGACATCACCGAGTTTATTTGGCTAAACGAGCGTGAAGATAATGCTAAGTGATGCAGAGCGGCAGATAAGCAACTGGCTCGTTATTGACGACGGCTGCGATAAGCTAACTGCAGATCACGTGTCTGTCTCAACTTGATAAAGCCATTACGTCATCTGCATTAAAACCTTTTTTATAAACAAAGAAAGGAATTTCCTTTGACCTTAAACTTTATATTTCATGATACTTGAAGCGACAGGTCTAATAAGGATAAGTATTGACAGGGCTTTGATATTTTAGATCCCAAATTTGACACCAGAAATCCTAAGAACGCTGCCGTTGTCACAGGATACTTTAGACAAATAGTCCTTATTCAGGCCCACGTTTAATGAAAGAGATTAATTTGCGAATTATTTGAAACCAAAGCTTAATCAGCAACTAACTTGGGTGTCAATCAAGAAGATTAAAAATACGCTTGAGAGATGATACAACCTTACATATTGGGCTGTTAATTAATATTGATAATAAAAGGAACTCAACAATATTCATGCAAAAACATGGTGGTGACTTTGTTACAGTTTTAGGTAAAATATACGCATTTTGAGATTTTCTTTTGAAATTATTATTTTATATGTTTTCCGCAGTACGCTGTCGGCTTCTTCAGCTTCCTGCTGTTGTTGATCTGCAATAAGGGAACTGCTGGTTTCCGTGCCTCCCTGGTGCCAATCCACGCAGCCTTCGGAATCCTCACCTTCGTACTTGGTGTCTGCGCTTGCCTCACTGGACTTACTGAGAAGGCTCTCTTCAGTATTGGGTACGTAAAAATTCATTTAAATGAAAGGAAACCTAAGCATGGTTTTTTTATTTGGTCTTTAATTTCTGCACTGTAGAAGAGGAATTTTGGATTATTTATAAATTTAATTCTATTTAGTTTTCTTTTGAAAGATGTGTAGAGGTTTTTCCTTAATTTAAAAATAGTTAATGTCTGGTTAGACTTACTTCCACCCTTTCAACCACATCATTGCGCTGCACTATCAATTTGTGTATGTACGCTGCACGTAAGCTCTATGTTGGCATGCTATTTCTTGTCTTTTGTGTGTCTGTGTTGTATGAGTTGCTTGTAAGTGTCCGTATCCACAGCGTGGAGAGATACAGCGGGATGGTCGACGAAGGAATTATCATCAACGCCATTGGAGTCGCCTGCATCGCCATTTTGTCAGTCGTCATGTATATCTTATCGAGAAACAAGTTCCGCACTCCAGAATCCCGCGGGCAACACATACGAGCCTCAGTAGACCTCTAAATTCCTTTCCATATTTATCAAAACTCCGATATCAGAGCCATTGGTTATTTAGTTTAAATTAATAAATGCGATTTTAATGTTAATTCTAGACATGTAAAAAACTTATTTAATGTTATTTTATTTCGAACATTGGTTCCGATATCTGAGTTCCAAGTTTAAATTAGTTAACAAAAATTATTATGAATGAATATTTTAGGTAAATTTTGCAGTTTGCATTTTTACAATATTTTTGATAAACATGTACATAAATTTAATTGGCTGATTACATGAAAATACGGAAATTTTGTTCTAGTTGACTTAGTATTTCATTATTTTTTGTACCTAACTATAGAGATAGATAACTAAAGAAAATAAAGTATACAAATATATATAACAATTTACATACAACATATAAACGAGGCTTTATTGTATCAGCTTTGATCTGTATCAGATCAAAATAACTTAGGCATTAGCTTAGAAAATGTAGAAATAAAATTAATTAGGACAAATAAATGACTTTTTAATATTAAGAAAACAACACTGTATTTTTGTTGCATTAAAATAAACGTAAGTATTCATTGATTTTTAATTTATTGGATTCTGATTACCCTTTTTTATACTGCATAGTTGGAATGCTAAGTATATTGTCAATAGCAATGATATTGTAAGTAAAATGGTGTAGATAGGTTACCTAAACAAAATTCGATTTTCAAAACCGACACACTGATACACACATAAAAAATTCGTATATTTAGACGTCAAAGTGAGATGGCATGATTCAATAATCGCGAGTGAAAAAGAGACAAATATGAAAAAAGTGTAGCTAGTTAGTTACAATTGAATGTATCACTTGCTGAGCGCTTGTAACCTATCTATACCTTTTTACTTATAATATCATTGGTCGATGGTATGACTTCTTATTCCTTATAATAATGGCGCTTAATAACATCGTTCATATAACAATTAGTTCTATGTCAAAAATGGGTACAAGGGAGTTAAAAAAACGCCGCGGTGGAAATAAATATTTTATGGATGTCATAAAAGATATTAAGTTTTATGTTTTTTAGATAGATAAATAGAAAATCTAAAGAAATTTATTTTATCTAAATCTATGTTTCTTAACTATTGTGCAAACCGTTATAGGTAGCGTTCAAAATTAAAATTAAAGCGTATCTAAGTAATAAAAAAAGACAAATATTTTTTTACACAGAACAAATTGCAGTATGAACGACGATAAGTAATATTCTAGCCATTAGAGTCGCTAGTGTAGCTTTAGGTCTATTGCCTAGTATAAATGGCTGTGTCAAGTTATTGGTTAGCCAAATTGTGACTAAGCTATGTGTCTTAACGTCTCACTAGTGCCATCTCGTGAGCAATAAACCTCAACGACATGTAACATTTATTTAAAAAAGAATGGAATTTTTTGATCGTTCTTCTCCATTCGAATCTACAGTTTGGAGCGAGCACCTAGCTTCACTCACAAATATATTGACAGACTACTATTCGATTTTGACGTTTAAAAAGTACCTGCCTACATAGGTACTTCTGGTTTAGTTGGAATAAAGGATTTTCACTTTGAACATAAAAAATCTCAGAAATAAAAGTTATTTTATTTAGTCAGTATTTTTGGAAAAGTTCAATGACATACTATAGATTTCCAATTCCGTTTTCTCTTTTTGAAAACCGACTTTAGTTATAAGCACCCAGATTATATTATGTAAGTATCGCTTTATATGCTGCTTTGTGATGAATGCTTTCTCATGCTTGTGGTTTTGTTTTTGCACCATCATCGTTATCTATACTTATTATATGTTATATACTTGCACTTCTATATTACATAACGCGTGTTCTCACATAATCCTCAACTGCAACATACCTACCATGTTTTTACATTGGATTTTAAACTTTATAACTAAACTATAAAGTTTATAATCGAATACCGTAGGTAGGTAGTATGATGGAGTAGTCTTCCATAGATATAGTACCTATGAATGTAGCCATTTATAATTTTTTTGCTAAAAACACTTTCAAGTTAGTGTTCCTGCAATTACATGATAATGGGTTCTGGATGTTAGTTGTTCACGCTTTAATAAGGATAATTATTTAGAAAATACTTCTGTACGGTGATGATTGCCTTCAAATAATTTATTAGTCAATTCCAATTTCCGCAATCAACATATTTATCTACAATTAAACAAGCTTCCAATCTTAAATAACAATCGTGCAATAATTCAGCTAAATTATTGCACAATTTAATACTAATCCTTTATTATATTTTTAAACTATTTACTTTTACAAAAGATAATACTAAAAATAATAAACTAAAAAATTCGAATTATGAAATATCTTTTTAATATAAATCTGTAATAATAACTCATACTGTTAGAGCAACGGATATTACTGCTAGTTAAAAATGATCCTTACTAACCTCCCCAAACAATGATTCCTCCAGCGAATCACGATTTAAATCAAGACTTGTAATTCTAAAACCCCATTTTCTAAAGCTTGATTCTTAATAAGAAAGTATCAATGAGTCTATCGTTTGGTTAAAGAAGACTAGAATGAGGCTCTAATTCGAGACAATCATCTTGAAAAACTAATGAAAAAACGGGGTATAGATACAAAAGATTTTCCTAGATACTAGGAAAATTCGCCAACATATATTCACCCTTTTCGTGTATCTATCCACCGTTTTACGGTACATATAAAAATTGATATTCAAGTATTAAAAATCAGGCTGTAGTAATTATTAATTTTTATGTAACTTTAATGACTTATTTACTAACCTGGGGCATGCGGTGTACAGGAGCGAGGTCTACGCAACGCTCAACAACGAGTCCATCGTGGTCAACGCCATCGGAATGTCGGTGGTAGCTGTCGCCATCTTGGTGCTGTACACAGTCCGTGGTACAGGTGGCTACCGTCTCCGCAAGGTCGCCGCACAGCACCCCAGCTAAACATCCGGGACAACCGCCGTAGACGTAATCCACAACAGTTTGGTGACAAATTCTTAGGGAAATCTGATGAGTGTGGTTATGGGTAGCAATTGGACAGCGAAAACAAGCTCTAGTTATATGATTTATATACATTTTCTAGTCTCAAACATGAGGAATGTCGTTTTCGGAGGTTTCTGGTGTAGCAGCAATGAAAATAAAACGTTTGTGGCCAAAATAAGATAAATTACAGCAATAAATGTCTTGCTACCAATTAAATTGCCATTAGCATGTCTGTTTATCCGAATAGGCAATTTAGGAATTCCCAAAACCACGTACAATTTACCACACTCGTCAATTTTCCATGGATAGTTAAATAATTTCAGGGTCGTTTCTGTAAAGATTTGACACATCAATTTAGTTTGTCGCATCTAACGTTGCCATTAAGATAACAAAAACTATGTTTTAAGAATTGCCTGTTGTGAAAAGAAACATCTTTGTGGATTGAAATCGAAACAGAAATTTGTCACCAAACAATTTTCTAACATTTATAATCAGTTTGTAAGTTCGTTTTTATGCTGGACGCGAAAGAACACCATGACTATGGATTAGTATTATATCATAAGCATAAAATCGAATAATAAAATAATTCTTCCAATTTTCCTTAAGTATTATCTAGATAAATTCGCGCAATAAAAGACAAACATGTATTTATTCTCAGACACGCTCCTATTGTGTTTTGTGAAGTTTATATTCGATTAATTGAAATAAAGAATATAACAATTATTTAGCTCAATTTGTTAACTTTAGGTTTACAAATTCTATTGTGGTATCATTATTTATGATTGTTCTTGGGGTTGTGCGTTGTTCCATTATTTAAATCTTTAGATAAAAATATGGGTGAGTTGATTCCGTCTTAGTCAAAATTTATTCGACTGATATTGAAACAGTAGCGTTTTGTTTTTCATTTCTTTGCAAATAAACAACGTTTTTGTAAGTACCTAGCTATTATGCGCTAAAGAAGAAAGAGCGAACATTAGTAATAGCAAATAAATGCAATGGATGTGGAGAATTTTACATTCTGCTGTGGTGAAGAATCGAATAGGGAAGGTTTCATTTTCAACTACGTACTCGCTGTTCTGTGAAGTAAATACTATTAGCGATTAGAGTTAGGACTTTGCCGTGTAAGCTAAGTATGGAACGAAACCGCGTGTGCAACGGATTGTCTAAACATAATCAGTACCAAAACAATGTACCCATATATTGTTTTCAAACGAAGTCAGAGGCCATACACATGATACAACTTTGTTGGTATCAAACTAACCTGCGTAGGGTTGTTTAGTTAAGATGTATTAGTTGTAACTTGTATATAAATTTTAATCTAATTTAATGTAATGTGCGAGTGTTCGATAGTTGTAGAATGTGATGGAGTAGTGGCAAAATAACATTTGAATATTTATTATGATCAGTATCAACGTAACTATGTATTACAATATATATTTAACCATTAAATTGATCGGCGCTGACTGTAGTGTAGTTTTTATTAGAACGAATAAAACATCATTGATCAAAATCTCTAATAAAAACTGCGTATTTTCAATTAATACTCTGGACACTATGATACGAACATGTATGATGATAGATTGTGTAAGACAAGTGTTCATCCAAGTTGCCAAATTCGATGTAAAGTCAAGTGGTCATATGTTTGTTATAATCAATTAATTACTGCGTATTACAAGTAGCATGTTTATCAATAATTGTAGGGTAAAGCTCAACGTGTTGATTTTATACGAGGGGTACCGACGCGTTCGTTTCATTTAAATTTATATAATAAAATGTATAATGTAAGAATTCAATTTTATAAAATTGCATTCCATGTAAGCATTCGATGTCTATAAACGTTCTTCGATGGATATACAACAGTACTAAGACTGCAGTAAGTAGGTCTTTTTGTATTCAATTACAGGATTTGCTATAATTTTTGCAAATTATATTTACAAAATAAAATAATTCTAGTTTTTGTGGATCCCTTTCAAATGCTGGGGCCAAGTTTTTATATCATTATATAAACCCTAACTGTACTGAGCAGCCAATGTATCTTGACCTGTCTGAACTTAGTCATTATACAGCTTTAAGGAGACACTGCAAAGCAAAAGTAGTAGTGAGCGAAAGAGATGCGCTTGTGGCGCACTTCAGACGGGTCAAGTTATGTTGTCTGTGCGGTACTATTGAGGCAGATTTTGTTACAGTTTAATTAGTGACAAAGTTTATTATCAATTTACATTGAACACAAAAGTCCGACGCTTCGTTTTATTTGAAAAAAAAAATGCACTATGAGATTTAAATATGGTACCTGCTTATTAATGTTATACCTAGGTAAGAATATTGTAACAATAAATGATTTCCAGTTTTATCCATACGTTGCGAATGTTAGATAAGTTTCATAATTACTATTTCAATTGTAATTAATTTTTGAATATTGAAATATAATTTCGCATACTTAGTTACTACGTTGATTACAAGTTATATTGGTTAAATATGAATTTTATCACTGTTTTACATTTTGAAATATTTATACGGCATTCATAAGGTACATTAAATACTTGTAATAATTATTATGAGTTGTTTTATTTGTGTATTCCTAATTCCCCATATTTCATTGGATCGAATGACGTAAAAATAAAGTTAAATTGCCAATAAAGGAGAGATAGGTGGGGAAAGCGAGAGGGAAGATATAGAGGGAGGGGCAATGAATAAATTCATTTCCATTGATTGAAAAATAAACACTTATGACGATTGAACATCATTTATTTATGTATATTGACAACCATCCTTCTAAATATTAATAATAAAGAGCATTCAATAAGAATAAATACTTATCATATAATAATTTGCGCAAAGAAGCTAATGAGACAACATCATGATACATGGTATTTATTACATAAGACATTAGGTTCAATTTTATTCAACTGACTAGACAGCACATGGTTACAAACCAATCGAAAAGCTTTAGCTGCCATGGATTTTTTGCTCAGGTAACACAGTTTTAATGTTGCCAAGTTATTAATGAAGATAACAATAAAGCTTATTATTTGTGCATATTATTCAGATGTGTAATAGTTACTCAAAAGATACAAACTGTCAACGCTTTTCTTTACATTTTTTATAGTATGATTATCTGATAAATTACACTTTATTTTGTTATATTGTAAATGGCATTTACTTTTCTACCATCTAAATAATACGCACAAATAGTGGGCAACACCGTTTTCACATATAAATCATGATCAGTAATTTTGTGCTGATAAATAATTTTATAATTTAGATCAAATTTTGATATAATTAACTTACAATAAATTTGGCTTACAATTGAGCTATTTAAAACAAAATTTTCAAGCTCATAATAAGTATTATAATACTAAATTTAATTTAGGCCAACATCATAAAATAGAATTGAAGTGTTATTCATAACTTTTCAATAGAAATAGACAATATGAACATTTATAACATTTCCAATCAAATTGTAAGACAATAGAGTTATTTTTCAATAATTTATAATATAAATACATTTGTTGAATGAATAATTTGTGATTTAATCGTGCACATTTATAATGGTCAATTATTTTTATATTTTTACTGACACCCTGAAATGTTGGTCGACGATGAAATTTGTTTAATAAGAGTATACTACAATCATAATTTTTATAAGATTAGACAAATCTATAATAGACGGCCAAATATAGTATTATATCCTCCTACTCTTGGGCGTGTGAGCTGATCCCAGTGAGGATATGGTATGGAGTCTAAGTGAGATTTCTCTGCGTCCTTGGAATGCTAGCGTTCAGGTATTCAAATACAAATAGTTAAAACATGAAGCCGATATAGATGGCGCTAGTGAGTATTTTATAGTATGTGTAACATTCGTTTACGAAGTGAGGGACGCATTTATGAAATTTAAAAACTTTTAATATTTTCAGCCGTCTATATGTGGAATACACAGAAATTCTTAATTTATAATAGTACTGGATAACAGATAAATAGAATATTATGAATTATCATTTAATGAATGCTTATTTTTTTTTACTAAATATCTGTTTAACATCATAATCGATTGTTGACTAGAAAAATATTGCTCTGTTTTATAAGTACGAACGCATTTCAATATGTATGTATCTAACGTTATGTATATTTAGGCCTGATTGCTTTCAAAACGTCTAGCGGCGGTAAATAAACCAATTAACAAAATAAAAAATGTCATGTAGTTACTAAAGCTACTAAAATGGTAGAATTGTTGGTTCTGGCATAATGTAATATCATATCTGGTATACTTATTAATCTATTTTATGAAATAAAAAATGCAGTCATACTTGGCTAGATAACACAATGGGGCATGCATTACGAAAGCCTTGGCACAGATTATAATAATTGAAACTAATCAATTATTTATATAATATCATAATGACTGAGGATACTGTGATGTAGTGGGAATAGTACGAGTAACATAAAAATATTCACGCCTCTGGTTATGCGGGTGTTTACCGGCAGCGGTTACCGTCAGGTAATCTGGCTGCTCGTTTGCCGTTCTATTACTATTACGATTTACAATGCTTGTGGAAGTAAAATCGTACTAACCGATTTTTGTGAGAATTTAATCCACAATAAGCACTTTTCTAATTTCAAATTTTTCATAATAGGGTGGTTAGCTAGCCAACATTTCAATGGTAAGCAATCGGTAACGCCCATAGACACTCACAGGCAGACAAAAAGTCATAAGTGCGTTGCTGGTATTTTTGGCGGGAAATTAAAATACAACCATAAACAATGCTAGTTGATTAACAATCAAGTACTATTTCACTTATCCCACAACACCATTATTATCCTTAGTAATGAATATCTAACAATAAACAAACAAGAATACAAAGTATTACTAGACATAGGATAACCTAAACCGTGTCTCTATTGTAAATCCCGATCGTTTAGGCCAAATTTTAAATTTATATATGCATAGAAACCTTGCAGACGGTTGGATTTTAGCCTCCTTTGGCTGCTTAACAAAATTGTTAGAGAACTCACTGATATACTTAAAATCGGCCATATATTCACCTGATATTAGGTGTTTTTTTAAGTAACAGTGTAATTTTACAGCTGCCTTCATACAGACACATTTTGTACATTTCTCATAATATTGTGTTTGTGCGAGCAATGATAAGGTTCACATCTCCGTAAACGAGGCGTATTATTATTACCTATCATACGTATATCACGAATCCAAACAAAGTCTGCAAAGGTTTTCAATCAGGAATGCACCAAAACAATGCTGTATTGAGAGAAAATAACTGAAATACTATAAAGACAAATTCAATGGAATAAAATAACTATATATTTTTTTCTTTTTTTTAAGGAAAACGTTGTCCCGCCCTAGAGTTTTCTCCTGTACCGTGGGTGCGTTTAAAAACATACAATTTCACACACATATGACACCCAGACCCGGAACAACAATTTGTGGATCACACAAAGAGTTATTCCGTGCGGGAATCGAACCCGCGAAACGCTGTGCGAAAGCCTGTTGCCCAGCCACAGGGCCAACTGTGTAGTCTATTTGTTAAAAACTTCAAGAAATAATTGCTAAAGTATGTTCCATTTAATGTTGAAAATAAAATGATGTTATATTTTGTGTTTATAATGGTCTGTCTTTCTTTGAGCTATTTTCTTTCCCTTTGCATTGTAGGACAACATGTACAGGACATGAGGAATGTGACATTAATTTGCACACAGAATGGATCGGAATTACTGTTAAAGCGTTACTAATTGACTGTTTAATGAGCGTACTGCTATTAGGAATATCGATATCTTTGGTGAGAAATGGCAAAAATACGTAGGTATTTTTATTATATTTCAAAGTTACGAGTGATTTTGAGGATAACGTTTTCTCTATCTCACGAAAGCCAATAATGTATTTTGAATATTTATATAGAATTTTTATGGCAAAAATACGTATATCGAATAAATCGAAAAATTTCCAGTTATTTGGGGATAATTCTCTTTATGTATCACAAAAGCCACTAATGTATTTTTCTTTTGACATTATTTGGATAATTGAACATAGATCAAATACTTTTTCTTTTATAGAATTGAAATTAAATTTGAAATATTTTAACAGACTTTGGTGGCATCATTTAGAAAACTTATTTCTTTAAAATTTGCTACAACAATATGAATATAACTATATCGTAAAATCAATTAATGAGTTTTATTTTTTAATATCATTTTTAATGGAATAGGTGAAGAAGGCTTCTCTCTGGATTTAATGTTTTTTTATAAAATCATTCCATTCTTCTATTTTGATAAGTAACTTAAAATATAAATGTGACATGAAATAATGTAAAAATGCAGTGTAAATACTGTTTTGTTTTTTGTAATATTAGGTAAACTATATTAAGGGCCCGTTTCGTCATTTTCATATAAGCCAACGATAAACTCATGTGGCACATAGTTCGGACCAATTACATTCTATATTCCAATTTATCTAAAACATAGTGTATATTCAGATATTGTGAACCAGGCCCTTAAATATTTTATAAATTTAAATTGATAACCTCTGAAGAAAACTTGACTTATACTAAGTAGTATCATCCAATAAGTAGCTTTGAAGATTAGTAAAATTATATGTATTATCTATTGCATTGTTTAGTTCTGTGCTAATACAAGATGCCATGCAAATTATATTCTATTTGTGCAACGTTATAACTATGATAATAAGGATACATTTTGCAAAGCAAATGCAAACTCCACTCCAAAATCACCTATTTAACATTCACGAGAACATTTTTACGTATATTTAATTGCATTTTCATGCAAGTTCTTGTTGAAGGAATGATTCTTTTTTTTTGGTTTCTTTAATCTTATAAAGATAATATCATTAGCTGTTGAACTAGGAATACGTTTTAGGCGCATATCGTTATCCAAGATCATCTAAAACATTTGTAATTTTCCACTTTAAACATGCAACCCTTAACAACACTAAACATCATATCATAAACGACAAGCTAATATGATTTGTAAGTTCGATACCATAGAATTCAATTTCCTCAAATCTCCTCTACCAATAGCACAGCCAAACCAAGCGTCTCCCACACGATAATCTGAACACAGTTTATTTTTATTCCGAGATTCCATATTCGAAAATGATTGCCAGACCGGTAACATTAATAAAAAAAGAACTACATTCTTATTTTAAAATTGACCACAGATAAAGTATTGCTTAAATAGATTGATTTAAAAAAAAAAATTGTAACAGAATGTTTCGAAGTTTCTCGAATGTATCCACTGGGGATCTGACAATCTGTAACCATCAAAGCCGAGCGTTACCTTTAGGTCTTAAGGTTTGAAGTACTGAGGGAATTCGTTGGAGATGGCTCTGACGAGGGCCTGGTCTTCACGGCTGCACTCTCCCTCCTCGCAGAAGATACGAGCGAAGCATCGAAGGAGGTCATCACGTCGGTGCACGTGTGCCCCATACTCTGTGTTGCGGATTATACCTTGAAGGATTCGTAGGTATTGCTGGCGTCGCTGTAGAATAAAAGACTTTGCATTACTTCTAGCTATTTTTGTCATAAATAAGTATGGTAAGCTAATACCATTCAGATAAAAGTATCGTTTTAGTTTCATTTAAATTTGGTCGAAAACTACCGAATTTGGGTGTCGAACACTGGTTGTAAAAAAATACCTGTTACCAGTCGTCGCGACATATTTCGGTGAATATTACTAGCTACTTTCTAGCTCCCGCCCGCGTATCCTATCCAAGGAACCACGTATCTACATATACTAAATTTCAACCAAATCTGTCCACCCGTTTTTACGTGAAAGAATAACAAACATTCATCCATACATTCTCACAAACACACTTCACACTTATAATATTGGTAGGATAATTTAACATGCTTTTATTTTCAGCTAGCTTTTGCCCGCGACTCCGCGTGAAATAGTGACTTCCTGCAGATTTATCGTTTAAATACTATCCTATGTATGTCCTCTCTCGAGTTCCAAACTATGTGTGTACCAAATTTCACAGTAATAGTTTCATTAATTTTAGGGTGAAGAAAAGACACATAGTTACTTTTGCAATAATCACATTAGTTTGGATGTACAAGTGCGAATCGAAGTGACAATATTCTATTAACTGGTACCTACTTAATAAATTTGCGCTACTCACCGAGTCACCTGGAGAGAGATCCGCTAGCTGCCTCACTATGATATCAATGGCGACCTTTACGTCATTCGTATAGAAATGTTCAGCGGTCTTCTTCCGACTGAACACGTCAATCATAAGCTTTAAGACAGAATGCGCAGGCGCCGGTTCGTGATCGAAAATGTGGACTGGATCCTCTGAAATATTTAAGGCATCATTGTAAATATGCCAAGAATAGGAATGGCAAGGAAAAGGGGTTAAAATCAATTTGTTACACTTATTTTCATATGATTGTCTTGCCTGGATCTCATGTGTACTACTATTATTATTCACAAAGAATTTTGTTTCCTACGATTGTATGGGAGGATGAAGGCCGCTTCCGAAAATAAATATAAGTGATAATGCTGGTCCTTTCTTAAAACTATAGTTTAGAATAATATATAGTTTATATAACTCATTCAAGACAATAATAAAAAAAAAACATTTAAATTTACTGACAGATTTGTCTGGTATAACACTTAATTTAATTCTTTTGAATCCCCACCCTGCTATTGTCTGCTTTCATGAGTTAATAATTGAAGTCGCAAACAACAAACTAATGCAAATATATTTTTGTAATTTTTGCAAATATTAATACTTACATTAAAAACCAAAAAAAAAGAGAGAAAATCGATAGGGCGGTATTTCCTGTCTGACTGCTCTAAGAATAAATGGCGAAACAAACTCATTCTCAGTCAGTCCACACCATGAAAAAAATATAAATACAATGTGTGAGAATTTGCAAATTCGTCGTAAATAAATGCTTTACAAAGGAAACTCATATATCTTACCCTCACGGTTAAGCAGCAAGAGAGCTTTTTCACAGAAAGTCTTCGCTATGTCTCTGGTCTCCAAAGCATTGAGGAGGAGGTTATCAAACGACTCTTCAAACTGCAGATTGTAAGCAAGAACCAGTGTCAGGAACAGGTCAGGGATCTGTTCATCCACATCTGTCTCCGGAGGATTCTCAATCAACTCCAGGAGGAAGAGAGCGAAATCTACGCCAAGTTGTTCTGAAATTTGTAAAAAAAAGAACAAAATAATATTTGAATAATTCTTTGCAATTGTATTTAACAATCGACGAGTCATTGGTAAATATTAACATGATCATACTTTTTTAGCACTCATCGATAACAGGCGTTATCAAAATGTTGCTACTATGCCAGAAACACACAACAAAACGTATGAAAGTAATATAATGAAGTATGACATAGTTATAAAAGTGAGTGATAAACTGGGATACCAGGCAGTTTATTTTCCAAGCATATATAAATTAACTGAAAAAAATTGTTGCAAGATTTCATATCAAAAAATATTTACCTCCTTTAGGTTACATAAAAGCTTGAATGATAAATAATAATGAACCAATCACTTGACCTAATTCAACTAGTTTCAAGCCATGTTGGGAGCCAATAATTATTAGATTTTAAACTATTTTACTATCACTACAAAATCATGAATAAGTTTCTAATATTATAAGTATCTTTAAATTTCTTACCAAAATGTGTGATAGGCAGCTTATCTCCCATGGAAAGTACCATGGACAAGAGTAGTGCAGAGTGCGAGAGACGGCTAACGGCGCGAGGGTTGTCTCTCATATCCCGCGCTATCTCCGCCGGTAGGGCTGACAGAGCTAAAGTTGCGAGCGCCGTGCGTTCCAGGCCACACATTACACCAAATGCCTGAAAATTATATATTTATATCCATGTTATATCCGCGGCCTCACGGGAAACCGGCGTGAAACAACCACAGCGTTGTGTTTCGCCGGGTGAGTGAGGTTACCGGAGGCCCAATCTCTACCCCTTCCTTCCCAATTCTTAAATATCCAAAACCCTTATCCCTAAAAGGCCGGCAACGCACTCTTTTGGTGTTGCGGGTGTCCATGGGTGCTGATTGCTTACTACCAGGTAATCCGTGTGTTCATTTGCCGACCTATACATAAAGGTGATATGTAGGTATAGTATCGATATATACGAGTACTTAACGGGTATGCCTTAGAGATGAGAATTGTGGCACTCCGAAAGAAAGAGAGGAAACGCAATTTCAATCTATCTTAGATCCAAAGCATAGGCCATCTCTCTCATTCTTCAACCAAACCAGACCAAAAAAGAATCGCAATATTGCACGGGTATGACATATCCATCAGTATATATCGATAGCGGTAAGGACACAAAAGGTCTATCTATACATGTAATAAATTTGATGCATTCAGTGCCTCCAATGGCTCCATCAAAAATGTCTCATATTTTTGGTCCCCACCACCAGGGGCTATGAACCGCATCATTACTTATATTATATCTACCTGAAGAAGCAGCTGTCGCAAGGGCCATCTTGTTTCCATCTGGTAGTATTGCACCAAGGTCGTCACATATGCATACTTGTGGCTGCTCAGGACATGTTGAGAGATGTTCACATCAGCATTTGACTGTGAAAGAAAATTTATAACTGAGATTATTTATAGAAATAAAATCAAGATCAAGACCATTAAAGCAGTGTAGTATTAGGAAAATGAAAAATTAATTGAAAAAAAAAACTTATAATAAAACGTTGCCCCACTCTAGGATTTTCTCCTGTGTTTACCAACATACAATTGCACATCACACCTGGAATAGAACTACAATTTGTGGATCACACAGAGTTGTTCCATGTGGGAATCCTCCGACACGTGGCGCGGTAGCCAGTTGCCCTGCCACCATGCCAACTGAACCATCAAAGATATATCAGCTTCTTCTATGTAAAAATATTTTCTCTATTCTTTAATTTTTTTTAAGTTATGCTTCAATTTAACATCTAACTTCTAAGATATGCTCCTCTGACTCAGGTTTATTATAAATAATCAGAAACAAAAATATTTACACCACTATTAACTTACCATAACTGAGATAAGTTCTAACAACTGTGTCTGGATGTCATGTGCATCATCATGTAAGGCCCAGCCTCTCTGTTGAGCATCATTGGCAGCCTTGGACAGTGCATTCAGAGCTGTCATCATCCGTAATGCGTCAGGTGCTGCATCTATAGCATTCTTCGGACATGTGATGTTGCTGTTTGCTTCTCTAAGCAAAGCATCAATGATTGATCGTGCTGCTCCACCGGGAAGGAACTCCTGGAAGTGGTATGAATTTTTTAACAGATAATAAAAATAAAGCCGAAGGAAAATGAATACTGGCTGGATTTACTTAAATAAATACATCCTTATTAAAACTATTATGCTTATATATCAACTTTGTAATAACTAAGTAGAAATTTTAGATAAAATATGCCATTAAATTTATTTTTATTTTTTCCTTCTATTTTATTATTAGTCAGAAAAGGGGATATTATATGATTCAAATTGAAACATTGGTGTAGAGAAAATAAAAATAAAATATTTATGTTAACCTTTGGAGTTACACAACAAAATAAAAAGAAAACAGGCCTAATAGCTCTTGGAAGGGTTGAGTATTTTTATTTAAAAGTTTAAAGCAAATGTGTGTTAGACCAAGACTGAGAAAATAATAAGAACTTACTCTTAGTGATATGAGCACAGTTTCCACCGCCACTTTGGACATGTCATGGCTAAGTTGTGTCTCTTTGCGTACAGCCTGGACTATTTCGTAGATTGCATTTGGTTTTATACTCTCACTGCTATCCTGGCTATCATCCTGGTTGTCTGTGTCTGAAGACACCTGGTTAGAGGAGGTCTTGCCAACAGCTGGTTTCTTTCGAATCTCATCATCCTCTGTAAATGGAAAAAATATATTAATACTATGTAAAGAATACAATATTCTTTATAACAATCAACAGCACTTAAGAAAATCTTGTGGATCATTAAAATTAATAACTGGATAATAAAGATTATAAATATGAGTTGTGTTAGACATTTTATTTCATGCACATTACTGTGGTGACAGAATTTTACCTTGAGACACATTATTATTAGGCTTAGTTGGTGATGGGGAGGATTCCCTGTCTTCACTGATGTGCTGCTGTGAAACTACAGGTCGCAAATCAAAACATGGTGACACACCATTAGGTGGAGTGCAGTCATCCAGACGTGGAGGGGGTTTGGGAGCCGGCGCCTTCTTCCCATGTGGCTTTATACTTATCTGAATTTGTTTCTTCTTCTCATTTAGTTTAGCTAGTAATTCTTGCTTCTGAGACATTGTACCACTCTCACTGATATTTTTGATACAATCGTTAAGGAATGCCAAATAGAATTCTGGCTCCACCTACAACAGATATTACACAAACACTGAGTTTAATGAAAGAGTTATGTGTAGTGATAATTGTCGTAATGAGTTTAGCCTATTACCTTGACTCCAGCGACGTAATTCGAGGGCACGAAACCAACTTGACCTTTTCTATTAACAACATGCCACCAGTTCCTCTGCTTTGCGTTACTTTGTTGAAGGAAGAAAAATTCTCCTTCCGTGAAGCTAAGAGTTTTAGCCAACGTCGCCTCGAAGTCATACAATGCTTTAAGCATTTCATTTTCCTCTGTAAATATTTGTTTTCTTCGTTATTAGTACCCACACCCAGGTTCTATCCTTATAAAATATATATAGCCGAAACTTACCCAAAGGGCTCGACTGGTCACCCATTGTGTTATTCAGAAATTCCAAAGCAATAAAGACAATATTACTGTTACATTTGTTTTCAGTTTTAACACATTTTCTTTTTGTATCTTACAATTTTCAGCCGATATAAAATCAACACAACAAATCAATTTTTTTGACAGTTCATTTGACAATACAGAGTTACCGACCAAGTGACAGTAACGTTCGTAATTTCTTCTACTGTTCACTTATTTGGATACGAATAAATTCAGTCCACTAAGGCACAAAAAAATGTCAGAAGTATTTCTTCGAAAAGAGCTGGTACAGGTTAAAATCTCAAGGGCTATCTTGCTTCATGGTTTAGGAAGTACGGAATACAGACGAATTCCCAGACTAAATTTTAATGAAAAATACCATCTTTTTAAGATTCTCTTTATTTTTATTACTTAGTAATAATTAAATAAACTATAATATATAAATATAGTTCATGTATGTATATTGTTGATACGCAAAGGCTATCAATTCAACGACTAGAGGTTAAGGGTTAGGTTAATATTAATTATATTTCCGATAAAGGTACTTCCCTCAATTAGGTAGTTCCCTTTCTCCGATGAACAAATTTTCCACATAAATTATCCCCGATCCTCAGTATAAATACTCAGTATCGGAAATGCAGAATGTATTTCATTAACGGAAACTGTGGAGCACATTATTTAAAATGTTAAAACCGACAGTTGTATTTACGTTTTTATCCGCATTATTTATCATTGAAACAATATGTTACCCAACATACGAATCTTCTTATAATCGAGAGACACGCAGCCTACGTACTTCAAATGGTGCAAGAGGAGGAATCATTGGCCACAAACCTTACAAAGATCCAAGACCAACTCACCCTGGATACAATCGACGCAATGTTAGAGATACTCTAAGCCCACAGCAGTTAGACAGCCAGGAGTCAATATCACGTTTCGCCAGGAGTGTGGAGCAATTGGGAGCAGCTAGCAAAGAGCACATCGATAGCCAGGAGGCACTGTCACGTGTCGCTAGAAGTGTGGAGCAGTTCGGAGCTGTCAGCAAAGAGCATCTCGATAGCCAGGAGGCACTGTCTCGAGTCGCTAGGAGTGTGGAGCAATTCGGAGCAGCCAGCAAAGAGCACCTCGATAGCCAGGAGGCACTGTCTCGAGTCGCTAGGAGTGTGGAGCAATTCGGAGCAGCCAGCAAAGAGCACCTCGATAGCCAGGAGGCACTGTCTCGAGTCGCTAGGAGTGTGGAGCAATTCGGAGCAGCCAGCAAAGAGCATCTCGATAGACAGGAGGCACTGTCTCGAGTCGCTAGGAGTGTGGAGCAATTCGGAGCAGCCAGCAAAGAGCACCTCGATAGCCAGGAGGCACTGTCTCGAGTCGCTAGGAGTGTGGAGCAATTCGGAGCAGCCAGCAAAGAGCATCTCGATAGCCAGGAGGTACTGTCTCGAGTCGCTAGGAGTGTGGAGCAATTCGGAGCAGCCAGCAAAGAGCACCTCGATAGCCAGGAGGTACTGTCTCGAGTCGCTAGGAGTGTGGAGCAATTCGGAGCAGCCAGCAAAGAGCACCTCGATAGCCAGGAGGCACTGTCTCGAGTCGCTAGGAGTGTGGAGCAATTCGGAGCAGCCAGCAAAGAGCATCTCGATAGCCAGGAGGTACTGTCTCGAGTCGCTAGGAGTGTGGAGCAATTCGGAGCAGCCAGCAAAGAGCACCTCGATAGCCAGGAGGTACTGTCTCGAGTCGCTAGGAGTGTGGAGCAATTCGGAGCAGCCAGCAAAGAGCACCTCGATAGCCAGGAGACACTGTCTCGAGTCGCTAGGAGTATGGAGCAATTCGGAGCTGTCAGCAAAGAGCACCTCGATAGACAGGAGGCACTGTCTCGAGTAGCTAGGAGTGTGGAGCAATTCGGAGCAGCCAGCAAAGAGCATCTCGATAGCCAAGAGGCACTGTCTCGAGTCGCTAGGAGTGTGGAGCAAATCGGAGCTGTCAGCAAAGAGCACCTCGATAGCCAGGAGGCACTGTCTCGAGGCGCTAGGAATGTGGAGCAGTTGGAGCCGACAGTAGATGGATAAATAAAAGTTAAGCAAGTACTTACAAGGTACCTACAAAATAATTTAAGTATGGTAGTACAATTTCACAATTATAGTGTAACAACTAATGTTTTTTTTCTCATTTATGGTTTAAATGTAGATTTGAATAAAATTGTGCAAACTAGCCTTTTTTGTGTCTTAGTGACAATATAACTTGATTCTGACAGCGTAGTCTTTTCAGATACCTATGAATGTGTTATATTACAATTCCTATTTCAATTTAATTGTTTTATTGAAGATATTTTATTGATCAAAATAATTATTTAAGTCTAGTGCAAAATTACAAATATCTATGTGAGCACCTACATCGAATCAATTAAATTGTTTTTGCTTGGTTGATAATTATTATATTCCTACAATAGAAAGATTACCTAATTAACTAGGGTTTAGCAGTTTAAACTGTATTTATTACAGTTTATACTGTAGATTGTCTTAATAATTTATTATACCTAAGTATTTCGATTAGAATAATGCGTGCGGTACCTACCTAGGCAAACCTACATATCATCGCATGGAACTGTCAAACGAAAATCTTGATACTTTTGTTTGTAGAGAGGTTACGAAGGACGGGCTGTCCTTGAGAGTCATCTTCAGCCACACCAACTCAAGTGGCATCGAGACGGAGGCACTCGGATTTCGAAGCTTTGTTTTATTTTTAGCACAAAGTCTTTTATCACTTTGTGATGTGTGGAAACGATGTTCTAGAAAATCATTGTATACCATATTTTACGACACGAGAGCGCTGGCACCCCTTCACAGAAAGCTTGAAAACAACGTTTATTCATTTTTAAGACAAGAACATCATCGAAAACCGCGCGTTTCTTTCACCTTCTCCAAGGCGGGAGAAAAAAACGCGCGCGAATTGTGGAAGAGCCACCGGGCCGGACCGGAGTGATACCGCGGCCTCACAGAATACCGGCGTGAAACAACCCACAGCGTTGTGTTTCGCCGTGTGAGTGAGGATACCGGAGGCCCGATCCCTCCCCTTCCCCTATCCCTTCCCAACTCTTATATCCGCAACCCCTACCCCTAAAAGGCCGGCAACGCACTCGTAACTCCTTTGGTGTTGCGGGTGTCCATGGGCGGCGCCGAGTGCTTACCATCAGGTAATTCGTCTGCTCGTTTGCCGACTTATACCATAAAAAAGGCGGTTCGTTCTACATCAGTGCGATCCTTATCTCGAAAGGACCAGTGTCATAGCAGGCATAGAGTATTCTTGAGTCTGTATGTGGTCGAGCCCCGAAGCGTCTCTTACGAAGGCTGGAGCGTGAAAAGGACCGTCCCTTCAAGCACTGGATGAAACAACGCTTGCATTGTTTTCGCCATGTGAGTGAGGTTTTTTTTATGTAGCAAACGAGCATATACATTACGCTAATCCATAGAAAGGTTATCGAAATTATTTTCACACATGTATCAGTTCAGTTAGATTTTTTTTCTTCAGAAGGTCACTACACATTTCTCTATCCTTTGTATTAGTTTAATGACCTCAATACTATTTCATACATTTGCGATTTTTACGGGACCAGTCATGTTCTAGCGGTATCGAGTTGAGATCTTGGGCTGCGTCTACTTGAATTATTCATGAGGGTTAAACGGACAAGACCCTCGCACAAGGATAGCATAAACTTGCAAATATTGTTGATAACAATGACTTTGAGATAACATTACAAAAATTAGATTTTATTTATAGTTAGGTAATCTAGGTACCTATTAAGAGTTATGAAATGCAATTTTTATTATTTTAAGTTTTTATCATAGAGGCATAAAAATATTGACAATGTAGTTGTACTTTTTAACCGACTTCAAAAAAGGAGGAGGTTCTCAATTCGACGCGTATTTTTTTTATGTATGTACACCGATTACTCGAAGACGCCAGAACCGATTTGCAAAATTCTTTTTTTATTCGATAGTGTATACTTGCCATTTGGTCCCATTGTCATGAGGTCAGGATCTGATGATGAAATCCTGGAGAAACCGAGGGGAACTTTTGAAAATTGTAGGGGCAAGTAGTTTTTTTCTATGATGTTTAAGTAGGCCTTTGACAACACTACAACTTGACGAAGGTCGAAGTCGACCAGATGTTGCAGCTGGAAGACAGTCGAAGGATCTCCTTGACTATTTGGAGAAGTTGCCTTGTGTTTAAGCTTGAATGATTCGTATTAGCGAGCACTTTGCAGCAGGCTCGGTCGTAACTGTCATTAGGGATCTGATGATGAAGACGAAGGACAGTCGAGGGAACTCCTCAACGGTTTGCAGTAGCTACCTCGTGTTTGGACTTAATTTATTTATATTGGTAACTTTCCCTCTTCTAGAGAGATGGCCTGTCCCAGTAGTGGGAACATTAAAATGACTGATGATGAGAACTTTCCCATTTCTTGGGATCTATATTTTTTAATCGAGCGGCTCTTTTCGTAGGCCTACACATAGCTACTTAAAAATATATACCTACTATTCAATATGTTAATTTATATTTGTACTGTAGTTTACAGAAGAACTTGTAACAGACACTAAAAAGTAAGAAATAAAAAAAATCCACTTTAAAAAAAAACGACTTCAAAAACAAGAATGTTTCAAATAAGTAATTAAAATTGATATATTTAATACCACTCTTACGTACTCGCGCACGTAAGAGTAGTTTTTTTTATGTAATAAGTCGGCAAACGCGCAGACAGCTTACCTAATGATAAGTAATCAGCGCCGCCCATGGACACCCGCAACGGAGGAGTTACGAATGCGTTGCCGACCTTTTAGGGATTAGGGATTTGGAGATTTAGGGATTGGGGGAGGGGAAGGATTGGGCCTCCTGTAACCTCACTTACACGGCGAAACACAACGCTGTGGTTGTTTCACGCCGGTTTTCTGTGAAGCCGTGGTATCGTAAACGCACTGACCTATAAAAAATCAATTCACTTTCAATGGTACATGGACACCTGTAATACTACAATTGCGTTCTAGGACCGGCTTCTAGGTATTTAATAGGATAATGGACTTGAGGATTGAGTATGGGGGATTGGGCTTCCGGTAATCTCACACACTCGGCGAATAAGTGATGCTTCACGGTGGTTTTCTTTGAGGCCGTAGTATCACTCTGATTAAGCCGGCCCATTCGTGCTGAAGCATGCCTTTCCCACACTTTGTAAGTATTTAGTACAAACTAATAACTGTTTTAAATAAAGTGTTTTTTTTTATGTGATAAGACGGCAAACGAGCTTACGGATTACCTGATGATCGGCAATCAGCACCGCTCACGATAACCTGCAGCACCAGAGGAGTTACGAGTGCGTTGCCGGCTTTTTGGGGATAAGGCTTTTAGAGATTGGGGACGGGAAGAATTGCGTTCTCAATTAAAGTGAGATTGATTGACGATTGAAAAAATCTTTATCCGTATTTGAACCTGAGATAATTCGCTGTACGGTCGTCCTTCCAACTACTTCATCGCATCGTCTATAGAAACAGTCCTATCTACATTAATTAGTTCTGAGATTATGATTATTATTCATGACTTAATAAATAAAGTCAAAGTTCATAGTTCAATGTAAACAACACAAAATATCGGAAAGATACGCAAATCCCTCCTTTTCCTTTTAGTGGTTATTCCCCCAAGGGACAGATTTCCTTTGATACAAATCAACGTTCTCATTACAGAGAAACACAATTTGATTTGATCCTCAATTATTGTCCTGGACTGGATGTAAATTTTGTTTACAAAAATATTATTCGAACACATATCTTGAGGTTTAAAACTTAACAAATGGAATGATATACGTTTACTTATCGCTCTCACAAATTGCAAGTGTCGATTTGGCGTCCAATGCATTTTATAACTTAAATTTGCTATAACTATAATTCGTTGGTCGCCATTGTTTATCACACTTTAATACTTATAAAGTTGGCCAAAACAAGAAAGTTTTATAAGCTGACAACAAAATTCTATTTTGGATTTGTAAAAAAGGCACAACTAGAAACTCCATACTCGAGAGACTCCATACGGAGAAGCACTCCTTTTCCTCTTTGAGAGTATTTTATTAACGTTGTTCCACATCTGGTTTTGTTTTGTGCCATTTTCGAGTAAGTAGACCCTATCAACATCATCAACAGCCTATAAGTGCCCACTGCTGAGCAAAGGCCTCTTCTCACACGGAGAAGGTTTGAGCATTAATCACCACGCTTGCTCAAGGCGGATTGGCGATTGCAAACTTATAATTAGAAATTATATTATATTACAAGTCCAGGTTTCCTCACGATGTTTTCCTTCACAGTATGTCAGTGGTGTCTATATAATCATAGAAAGTACATATGACTCGGAAAAAGTCACATTGGTACTTGTCAGGTTTCGAACCCGCATCCTCATGCATGAGAGGCGGGCACCTTGACCTCCGGGCCACCACAATTCAACTACCTAGGTATATCACATGATATACCTAAAACATCTGCATAAACTTTAAAACGAAATACCAATTGTAATGTCAAACAAGGACTTATTAACAAAAGCATCACTAAAAGCCGATATGTTAATTACTGAGCACGTATTAACGTATCCCAATTCTTGTGCACCTGAGTAAAATGGCCTTCGTGAAGCAATTCACACAATAGTCGGTAAGTAATTAAAGTAATTATATGGGTTACAACAAACGGCTTGTGTCGCAGACTTGAGAAAGTAATTACACACATTATGTACCCACGAATCTACCTACCTACTATTAAAAATGGGCCTTTGTTTTATGGATAACCATAGAGAAGTATGCGTGAACTTTTTTGTCGTAGGTAGGTACTTATTGTAAGCGCAGCATTTGTGAACTCTTTTCAAGCAAGAAGAGACTTATTTATCTGTAAAAGTAATTATGTATTTTTGATACAGTGCAGTACAATATAGTGAGACATTTAATTCTTAGACTATTAATAATTAAGTGTGGGAGAGCCATGTTTCGGCACGAATGGGTCAGCTCGACCGGAGTGATACCACGGCCTCACAGAAAACCGGCGTGAAACCACCACAGCGTTGTGTTTCGTCGTGTGAGTGAGGTTACCGGAGGCCCAATCCTTCCCCTCCCCCAATCCCTCCTCAATCCCTGAGTCTCCAAATCCCTAATCCTTAAATGGTCGGCAACGCACTCGTAACTCCTCCGTTGCGGGTGTCCATGGGCGGCGCTGATTGCTTACCATCAGGTAATCCGTCTGCTCGTTTGCCGAATTATTACATAACAAAAAATAACAAACCTACTAAGCCTTTATTTTTGAAAAACAGTGGTGTTTGAAAGTCGTCCATAATTAAGTTAAATTCAAAATGGTTGTTCA